ACTTTCATACGAAATGAAGGTCTCTCTAACAATGTTATCTCAGGAGATTCATCGAAACCCAGTTTCTCTTAGTATCTACAGTAGATAGATAGACTAGGACATAAAGACGAGTGATAGTGCAACCGTTTCCGGCAGAATGTTGGTAGAAGGATTGATTCCACTTGTCTCTTTGACGAATTCGTACCAGCGCCCGCTGATGATGCCGGCGAAACTTCTGAGCATGTACAAAGCCCCCTGTCTGATGCAGGAAATTATGCTAGTCACTATGGCAAAGGACTTCGGACTAGATGCGCTCTACTAAATCTCGCGGACAACGAGACCAAATTGCGACAACGAGGTCAACCCACTTCTAAAGAAAAGCATTACTGACCTTTCCTACTCTGGTTTAGTGGCTGCGGACGCAAATGCCTACACACATACACGCACACAGACTATGGATGATATGAAAGCCAACTATATAAACCATTCTATACCTACCCGGTTATATTTGTATATTTTGCTTTATAAATATGAATAGATATACAAAAATAAGTTCCAGCCCTAGGTTTGCTTGTCGGATGACGGACAAAATCGAGTGAGTATATCTCGTTGACTGCGCCAAAACCTGAACATTGTATCAAAACCGAACGGTTGCAGAACAACTGCATCCAGTCGTCCTCCTATTGTGAGATCAACGTACCAATCTCTTTATGCTAAACTTTCATACGAAGTGAAAGTCTCCAAAGAAATGCATTATCAATAGGTTCATCAAAACCCACTTTATCTTCGCGTTATTTGAAATTATTTTTAAAAAGATATCCAAATCTGATGGCATAAAAGACAAAAATTTAGCCCATTTTTGTTGCCGAGACCGAAGAAAGCCGACACAAAGACCGAGTGAACCATAAGGCTCCACTGAAACCGGATGACATTTGACCGATTGGAATGTGCTGTCGCCTTCAGGTGGGGCTGATCTGGCCGAATCGCCTCATCTCTCTGACTTACACGCAAACGTGGATGAGCTCAACCCTTCTGCCGTCCAACTTTTTCCAGTCCCCCAAATGCCGAGCCCGCAACTGAAACGGACGAATGGTCTGTCGACAACTTGAAGTCCGAAAAGTCTGACTCCGCCGATTGTGCAGTCAACGTGTCCGAGACGATCATTTATCGTGGCATGGAGACAAGTTTGTTGTTGAGGCCCAGATGGCAAGAATTTATCGTTCTCTGAAGCATAGTCAGCAGACGTTCCGTGACTGCGGCAAGGCTTTTTCATCACCAACTATGCCTCGGGGATGGTGTTTATTTGTCGTCCCGTGAGGCCGAAACTCTTTAGTATCGCAAGTTTTGCCGGTTAATTTATTACATTTTTTTGTGCATCATTTATTCGCTTCATATTTATGGTCTGGTTGTAAAGACAGCTGGCCAGGCAGAAAAATTCAGCTAAATTCCAGCAGAACTCCTCTCCTTTCAGGACAAGCCAGACAATAAGTATTGCAGACTGGTCGCCTCAGTTTGTCCCCAGTCAGTACCGCTGCGGACGTGGGGAGGGAGTGCGATTCGACTAAATTTAATAAACTTTCCAAAAGCAACCGCTTTTAACGTGGATATAAGTCGGCCGAGACTGATGCATTGTCTACCGAAAGAATAGGCCAGCTCAATCTACTGGCTGGGTTGATGGACGCACTGGGAGAGGCATGAGGAGAGACAGCGGGAGAATGAGCTTGAAGGAGCTGTCGCCTCTCGGAGTGGCAATTCCCCATTTCTTCTGGTCTCCTGCCTCTCCCAGGAGACCAAATAGGCTACGCTGATTACGAGCATTGTGAGCCACGACAATGGAGATAGCAACGAGGCTATTCGCAACCTCATAGACGAAGAAAGCCTGAACATACGGACTGTGCAAACAGGCAATAAATACGAAAAGAAACTGGGTTTCGATGATTCTCAGGAGATAACATTGTTGCGAGGACTTTCATTTCGTTTGAAAGCAAATGAAGAAGAGATTTTTAGTTCGATGAATCATGTTGTACTGCCACAGTTTGGCTTTAATACGAGCTTCAGGTTGACGCAGTCCACG